GGCCCGCAATCTCTTCCGCGGCCAGGTTGAAACGGACGGCACGGTCGGTAAGTCTGGGACCCTCAGGCATCGGTAGCACTGGGAGGGATGGGAAAGGGGTATCCTCTTCCTCCATCGTCGTTGATGTGATCCTCCATCTATCAGTGGCAGATTACACTCCATTTGTAAACCTTAAAAGAAGCTATAAACTCAGTCTGAATTCTCCTCTTTACCTGCTACACATTCACTTCAAGAACTCCCAACAGGACGAGGAAGCAGTGAACACATCTGGATGGACTGAAAAGACAACGATTAAATCGAGTAAGAACGAACTGAGACATACGACCAACTTTCAAGTCCTCGGATTCAGGAGATATGCTGGTAGCTATCAGTCCAGTCGTCCTTGATACCATCTTCCACCGAGCAGTACCAGTTTACTCTCCTTCTCGTGAATCTGAAAAATCAGAAATTTAGAAAATCGGCTCAAAACTCAATCTTATCTGCTCCTCATTGAAGTGGCTGAATAGGTACTGGACAATGAAGCAGTAAAGACTCTTCAAACAACTTAAAATGTGATGAAGTTAAGTTACTCGTTTTCAATCTTACCTGTTACGTATTCGCCACATTGAATCTATGCAGAACAACAAAACAGCGAACATTTCTCAATAAACTGAAAAAATGATTTGAAGAAGTTAAATGAGCTAAGTCTTACGTTAACTTTCGAGTTTCATGAATTCCCAGGACTAAACATCGAGCAAGTTTTGAATTACTAGTTCTGAGCCTCACTCGGTCTTCAAACTACGGCTCTCAAACGGTCATCTGTAACAAATTACATTCGAAACGTTACCTATCCTTCTAAAGACATGGGAAACGAGTGTTCATCTTACAAGTACCTCTGTTTTATCAATGATTAGAGGCGTTCAGTCAACCTTGATGAGCTCGCCCGAAGGTGAAACCGTAAGTTAGTCAAGCAATGGAGAAGAGCTAAACGAAAGGTTTGAACACCTATGGAAACTGGGACTAACCAAATAACAGTTGCGATGGTTCTATAACATCTTGATAAGATTAAATTCTTGAGAAAAATAAAATTTATTAGCAAGATGAGAACGAATGAGGTAGACACAGGAGTGTCCAGTTATATGTCATTCTGATAAAACTCTATTTATTAGGTTTTGGTGAGACATAATGAAATAAATTATAAGAGGTTGAATAAATCACAGTATCAATTATTCAGGCAAGATTTCAAAGAAGATCGACAAGAGAAAATGCGGAGATTTTACATTGTTTCAATTATGGAATAACATTGTGCTAGGTAAAACTCTGGGACATGGCAAAACAAGAAAGACGATGAATTCTACAATAAATGATAAATACGTATAGAATGTCATTGGGAAAGGCTAATGTATTGAACTCGTACTGATTGCGTAAACGCCAGAGGAGATATTAATGCCAGAAATTGTGGACCCTAGATACCCTTCTTCCATGGAAAGTAAGTAAGAAATTATAAAAACTGAGATTATTGGTCAAGCTTATTGCTCCTGATATAACAACTTGGCAAGTTGGTCTTTAGCAGCAACATTTTCCCGTTTGCTTGCTGCGCACCGGGCATAATCTTCTTCAGCTAGTTCAGCGTCACAAGACCTTTGATAGTATCTGTGATAGAATCATCATTCGAAAACCGCTCATAACGTTCACTTACCTAATTCTTAAAGTGGGTTCAACAGCCCTTAGCACATGAATGTCTTGCTGACCCAAAAAAACGGAAATCAGATCGAGTCGTTTCCCAGAAAGTTTATGCCTCAACGCGACATAATCCGAGCCGTACATGGCAGCACATGTGAAATCGAGGCTGTCAAAACGACCATGATCCTAAGAAAACATAACATCAAGATTAAGAAAAGCAGGAATAACCTTTTGTACTAATAAAGCTCGTTTCCTTTTGAAAGATCCAACTTCGCGCAGCCTATTCAGTGCTTGATCTCTTGCTTCTTGAGGATTTGTTGGAATCTGAACATATCCAGGGTGAAGGAAATTAAAAGAGAAACAAGACCTCATTTTCATTGACATCCATTCCTGATATAGTAGGATGGTATTCGACAAAGGGTAATGGGAAAAACACCTATAACACATGACTGTAAAACAACAATAAAACAGTGACTTACCTGATACTTACGAATTGTATTAATTCGAACTCTATCTAAGAACTCTCTCTGAATATCTGCATGCGGAGATAAGACGACAAAAATGGTGTTTGGTCCGTAACGATCAATGGACTCGTCTAGTGCAGCACTAACAGGACTGGAGTTCTCAGCTGCTCTAACAGAAATTACGTCAGCTTCTAAGGCTGATCGATGACATCTATAAGGTAGCGAATTATACCCATACAACGACCGAACGATACCGTTTCTTAAGTTCAGCTAAGTCATTGCGTATGTTTGTAACGGAACGAGGATCAATCTCTTGTGATACGGCAATCACTACTCGAGTTTTCCTAGTCTCTTCGATTGCTGCAAGACATAGACGGGCTTGATGAGCCAGCAATCGGCGGGCTGGGTATACTTCGGTTTCTAAACACAAAAGTCAGAAACGAACTCTCGTTGGATCAGACTCACCGAGGTTAAGAGGAACAACAATGGTTATATCTGTATCTTCTTTCACATAGGGTACCTATAAATCAGTATGGAACTCGATCTACATTCCATAACTCACTTGATTCAATAATTGTGTTGAAGCAATCATTCTACTGACATGAACCCGTCTTTCTACGATTTCCCCTTTCGGTTTTTTATAAACCAAATCAATCATATAGTCCATTCCACGTTGTGAATCAAAAAGTCTGACAAAAGTAAAGAATAGTTATAACATTTGATTGGTCAGTCAACCTGTATCCATTACGCATTTGAACGAATTCCAAATCAAGCTCTTCATTCTCTGCATGTTTTCTGGCAGCTTGAACAACCTTGGAAAAATAATTTATGGCGGAATACATTTAGTTACTAACCTCCATAACATCATCCAAATGTTTACCTTCAAGAGGCCTGACGTTCTGGTTCTGCTCGTTACGGAAAATGTCCCTCATAGTGAAAAACTCCCAGGTAGGAACCTGAATCACAAAGGTGATGAAAAATATTTTTATAACATCACCTGATATCTATTGGGTGGTTTACTGTAACTTGGAATAGCAGCTGGCCATGTTGGCCCTTCTTTGGTAACGCTCATGAGTTCAGAGACTTCCTTCTCCATATTATCAATGTTTTCATCCAATCTATTATTAGAAAATTAGATGAACGAAAAACTATTTGAAATTACTCTGATAGTTCAACTCTTATGAAGTGGTCATGAAGAGCAGATGCATCTGCTTCTGAGAATAATTTTGTAACGGTGATCGACTTGTTGAAAAGAGGATCATTTTTCCAGTTATTAATATTGTCGTGTGCAGCATGACCGTCAACCTTCCAGATATGAAAATCAGAGCCCTGAAGAATGCTTATTCAGTGAAAGAAAGTTATGACTGTTCACCTGATATGATTGGGTGCAAGATAAGTTCGTGGCGAACATCATACACCTTTCGAATGCGAGCTGATCGGAGTCGATACTAGCCGTGATTTCATTGCAGGCTTGACGATTCCTGAAAAGAATTTTAGAACTTTCACCCCAACAACTATTAAATACTTCATAATCAATTGAAGAGCAGGATTACTAAGGAGAACGCCTGATTCCAGGATGCATCTTCCATCAGCATCGGGCTGGCCAATGAGAACAGGTTTGTTCCAATTGATCTGAAACAGAAAAATCTGATAAATTTGGGAGGTAAAAAGTTACGTACACTGTCGACGTAACGTTTCAACTCGAAAGGATTCACATACGTGGAATCTTTCACCAACAAAAACCAGTCATAGTTCTCATGCATACTCTGGAAAGGTTATCAGATGAAAAAGACATTGAGGAATGAAAGGTTATTGACTCCAATTGTCTACTACATTACATTTAACAACAACATTGAACTTACTTCTTACTCATTATGAAGACTATAAGATGGTTAAGCATACAAATGAATTTTAAAAAACAAACAAAACAAACCATATTGAACATCAATCCAAATATGAAATGATGAGACTTCTGTCCGATGTTACGGCTATCACTACAAAAAGAACAATTTATTACTTTCTTTTCTTTTTTCTCACCTTAAAGGATAAGGACTCAGATTAGTTAATTGAGCCATGTCACTATCAATGCGAGCACTGTCGGCAAACAAATGAATTCTGAATTGAGATTACAAACAAATCATATCACTACTACATACCTTGGAACATGTTTACCAACGGAAGCATTTAGAGCGACTGCGAGAGATGATTCGGCTAGAACAGCAACTACTAATCTGTCCCGCATCCCTAATTCTGTTGCTGCAAAACGTGCTCGAACAACCTTAATTATCTCAGTTACTTTCAGAAACTTTCAAGAGAACTTTTACCTTCTGCACTTGATCATTAGCAACGGCGGCAACAGTTGCATTTGGCTTGTTCTCCACATGAACTTCCCAATGTTCGCTCACATCTACAAATTGTCTCTCCTGCTGAGGTGGGCAAGTAGAAATAGGTTCATCAACAGGAGATAAAAGCAGGAAAGATGTGCAAAGCCCTGCAACAAGTCCTGCTAGCAGGGGTAAACCCGTACGGGCCCCGGCTACCATCCACAACTGAAATATGTTGATTCGTGAGGGAACATTTCAAAGGATACGAGAAGATCAAAAGTTCTATAGGTGAAAGAAAACATGCAATGTCTGAAAATATGCAAAGTGGATGAGCAAGAAGTGACCTCCAAATATGGTCATTAATTTGGAGTAAGGGTCGAAAGGCGGAGTGAAACGAAGGTAAGACAAACGGAAACCATCGAATACAAGATCTTACAACAAGAGACCAATACAAACAAATATCACCTAGAGAGAACGATAAACAAAACGTTCGGAGCACCGCCAGAGGGACCGCAAATGGAATTTACAACTTACATGCTTGAGGAAGTGTTTTAGCATTGTGATCGTTAACATGCATAGCGGAGGCAATAAGAACAAGTTTTTAGAAGAAGGAGTGAAAAAGCAAAGCCTATCACATGTTTCAATTGCTTCGCATATAACAAAACATTGGAAAACGTAGAATTTAATATTGTTGAAAAAGACAAGAATGAGGAGCGGTGAGAAAAAGTCGCAAGTGTTTCAAAAGAGGAACAATTCTTGATTAGCAACCATTTCAAATAGCAGATGTGAATTTTTCGTAAAATAGAGAAGACTAACAAGAGCAATAGCTGCATTTGAAAATTCAGGAGAATTCTCAAGAAAAACTTATCATCATCCTTCAGAGGTCTACAGCGCGACGCATAAACTGAAAGGACATATTATAAACATGTGGTTGTAGACGCTGTGAAAGCAATCAATTTAAGATATCTTCGGAGGTCATTAACAGCTGAAGATGATGAATTTATGAAAAAAATGACATATTTGCTGTTCGTTTTTTCAACACCAAGTTGGATACTCTTAATCGATGACGGGGGAAACTTAGAAAACATTGATCATTTAGAAAAATAACGAAATGAATAAAACGAAAACATCCAAACACTTATATAACAAAGGTTAGTTCCACGAATACATCCTGATTGGGAAGTCCATCGATAATACAAATGTGAACACATCGTTCGATAATGAAGTACATCTTCAAATGTACATCTTGGACCTGAACATCCCCAATGAGAAATCCGCCATTGCGTACATCCCTTGATCAATCGATACTTGCGTATAATTGAACTAACTCGAATCTCTAGTTCAATCTCTTTTAACCAAAAGAATAATTGTTATTGAGGTTATGATAAATTAATTAACGAGAACAGCAAACTTCAATTACATCGTATACAGTACATAGTGCAACACAAAAATACTTTCAAAGCGACACATATGTAGTTCTTCTTCGATTTGAACTCTTATTTCGAGATAGTTGATACAGCTATTTATAAGATATTCATGCAAATGATATATTTATTCATGTTCAGCCCCTTGGTTGATGTTTGTTTGGTCAACATTAATAAACGTTTTCATGTTAACTCACCTCCCTTATTAGCATAAACGCCCTTCGAAGTAGAACACCTATGATAATTGCATTATCGAAGAACATTCGCGCAGAGCGGTTGCATTCCCAAACTTCCCAAAAAACAACAATTCAGAACATCACCTTGACAGATTTTTTCAAACAAGCTCGTAAAAGTGTTTTAATACAGATAAAAATTACTGTCGATAAAAAAATACTCGAGGCAGAAAAAGTTTATTGGCAGTTAAAGTTGTTGAAAATTCTCTATACAATTCGAAAGCATACGCTCAACAGAATATCGAAAACAAATTATTAGAAAAGCCTAGAAGGAATTAATAATATGAACCTCATTATGGCACATGTAGGCTTCAAAGAAGAGAGCTACGTACAGGGTACGTGATGGCGTCCCATTCAAAATTTACATTTTGTTAACCAACGCTTGCATGCCTGAGCGAGCCATTTTCCTTATTCTCTAAAATTTTTCTGTTTAAATGCTCGAGAATTCATTGACTTTCTTAAGGAAGAAGTTATGAATATAGATAAAGAGAATTTCATAGTTTTTTTCCATTTTTTTCGACCCGAATCGCTGGGAAATTTATGTAGATTTCATTTCGAATTCTCCATTCTCCATACTCATATGATATCAATGTTTCCAACGCTTCGACTCGGTGGTTATTATGTTCTCTTGCAGATATCAGAATGGCCGATGAACTAGCTAACTTTAAACTTCAATTACAGCAGGTGTGTAAGATAATTAGTTTTGCTTTAAATTATAAGGTTGTAGGTCGAAGCTGCCTTATTAGGAGACCCAAAGAACGATGAGCTAATAAAGTTAAAATCTGATCTCAATGAAATTATTGCTCTTCAAGTAAGATATCCAAGAGTAGAGGAAGAGCTTACTTAAATGTTTAGGAAGAGTTAATAGAGGGTGATAAACCAACAGCAACCAGTAGCTTCTCAGCTCCTGCTAGGATTTTTGAGGTTTTTAAATCTTATTTTTTTAGTTAAATCTTTCGTTTTAAGGTTGGTGATCGTGTTATGGCACCTTTACCCACAGGAAACAAAGCTGTTGCTGTGGTCAACAGTATAACTGCTGCTGGTTATGCCATTACTTTCATCAGTAAGATTGCATTCGACTTCAGAAAAATGTTGATTACTGTTTAGATAGTGGACAGAAAACTATTGTCGATCCTTCCGACTTGGGTGTTGCCCCTGATGGAGGAAAGAAATATGTTTTCGATAAAGAGAAACAAAGAGTGAATGCACAAAATAAAAAGGAATGGCAGGTGAGAAAGCGGCAGCTAGAATTTTCATGAAAATCTTTTTTTATAGATGGAAAGAGAAAAAAGACGGCTGAAAGCACAGAAGAAAGATATGAAGAAGAAAGAGCTTGAGACTGCTAAAGTTTGTTTTCGTTTCTTATCCCCATCTTACCTCTACGCTTAAAGGAAGCTGAAAAGAGTAGTTGGCAAAAGTTCAATAATAAGGCTGCGAAGAAGGGATTACAAGGGTTCAAAAGAATTAATGTGTCTGGATCATCGCAAGATACAGGTAAGCAGTTCAGCTTGAAGTTCTTTTCTTATGCATTAAGTTTTAGCTGCCAAGAAGTTCGAGACCGTCTCTTCCAGAACCAACCAGTTCTCGTTCAAGTCAACTCGCGGTAATATGGATTCTCTGTTCTAATCCACTTATGTAATCTCAACTATAAAAAAATTTATGAAATTTCCGTTGTATTAAAGTTCCTTATTGAATTTCTCTCAAAATAAAGTTGCTGTAATAACTGATCTCGCGAGGAGCCACTTATTTATTCTATTATCTTCGGAGCCAATCCAAAAACCACCTGTCGCATTAAGTAATTCTACCACCTCATACGGTATGTTAATTTGGCTCAAGCTTGCTGCATACGAGTTAATCCCTTTTTTGGCCTAGCACGTATTTAACTACAGCCTTGTCCTTTTGCCAGTTATTACTCAATCGTTTAAATGTTTGAAGAATCATCTGCAAACAATCGGTCTCAAGCTGATATTGAACGACAGCGAAATTCTCACTTCCATCTACTTTATCATCAACAATCCATTTGCGACCAGGACTTAGAGCAGCAGCATAATTTAACAGAAACCTGTCGGTCCTCACCTTCATCTGGCCCTTCTTCAAGAACTCAAACACGCGATTCAGGTGAAAACTACTTTATTTCATCGCTTAAATCATGCTGGACAGCTGTATTCGACCTCAGATCTTCCAACCTATGAAGCTGCAGATATTTCAGGCCTCTTCGATGGTTTAGAGAGATCATTAAGTACCAGTAGTAATGGAGGTGTAGTCAATGTGGTTGCTAAACGGAATGCTCGCGAAAGAACCCGAGTACATACGGTTAACCAGGTTAGTTAGAGTTTTTAAGCTTCATCAGAGCTTCTATTACACTCCAGGCTTTCATGGTGTTGAAAACTCACATACCCGAAATCCGATCTCATACCAAGCGCGTTTCAAAGTTGAAAATATTAAGAGCAGCCATCAATCACATAGATTACTTGGTACGCAAGCTCAAGGTGAGTGCATTCTTTACATCTCGTTCTGAACATGCGGAACTAGGCTGACGATGCGTTATCTCACTTCTCCCAACCTCTGCTTTCGAAATCTGTGCCAGCATTCTCTGTTTGTAAGTGTGAAAGGATTTGAGCAATTTGACAGGAAACTTCTAGGTGATACGCAACTGCTGAATAATCCAAACTTCCAACCTTATGTTAACGTACAAACTCTACTGGACTACCCTTCCTATATATACCCAAACGCATCGACAGCTCAGCAACTCTTAGCCAGCCATCCGCTTTTCTTGACTCAAGGATATTCAAGCTCATCGTCTTGATTTAGCAAATACTTCTCTCTCGATAATAACATTATTTAAACCAGAAACGCTTGAAGGAAATAAAAAATTTATAGATTATTGAGTTTATTATACAGATATTTACATTGTGCTCCAGGCTTTTCATGCAATAATTCGTCATTCGTCCTTCTTCTCCAGTAATAACTTTTCTAAAGAAGGGTGTTTCTTGATAATGGCATCTATTCGGCATTTGGCAGAATCAGACATTCTCCTGGCTAGCACCATTGTTACAAAGAAAATATTTCCAGCTCCAACAACAGTGAAGAGGATAGCTAATGCCAACACCTGAAAACAAAGCAATATCAGTGGTTCTTTAAGTGCTTTTAATTCTTTAATTCCGAAAAACTGTTTATGAAATTCGAAATTTCAAAAAAGATAAACAAATCACCTGCCAAACACATTGTTGTCGATGCCAGATAGTTAGCAGACAATAAGCATTGTATATTTCAAATATGTAAGCTAGCATAAGGAAAGGTAACAGGAATGTTAAACCTTGGAACATCCAGCTGGCGAAACCTTCTGACAAAATATGACATTGAAGATAGTCTGGTTGATAGTTTAATCACTCACCGAGTGTTATGTCCATCGTGTCTCCATGACCTAAGGCATGCAGCCGACGAATACATCCATTTTGGTATTGATATTGTAATTGTTGTACCAAACAAATGTATCCTGTGAACATAATGAATTGTGGACGGAATTCCTAAAGAGACAAATTGAATTAGACCTAAATCCTCATTCCTACATGGTAAGCTTCGTCATCAGGCCAAGTAAGCGCTACTCCTCCAACTACACAGGCTAGGTAGTGATGCGCTACCCACCACCAATGAATTCTAATTTGTTAATTTTCTGACTTGTTAATGAAGAAAATATGCCATACTTAGAGCCATTAATAATTAAAATATTTTCCCTAATCGTCAACGTGCAGTAGTACCAGACCATTAGGAAGTGACAAACAGCATCCATTGGCCTGTAACAATGAAAATGCTCATGATGCTATGTAATCAAAAGATACCTGGAGGGAAAGAAGAATGTAATAGTTAATAATACTAAATTGATCAAAGTGACTCTAAGCTTAAAGTTCTCATAGTCTCTCTTGAAGTTTAACCTGAACTAAGAGCGTTATCTCATCATGTATATGCTTGCGAACCTTTGAGAGCTATTCATCCTGAGGTCGATTGAATTGCCAATTATGATATTAAGATAAAACCTTCAAATAGTTTCTTATTGAACTCGTAACAATGAAAATGAGAGTTTTACCCGTTATCATTCTTTCTATTGGAAGTTTGTTCTGATTGTTTTTCCATTTCCTTCTGGCCACAGTACGTGCAAAAGCCAGGAACGTGGAATATTTCCTTATATGCCTCATTACTGAATTGAATATTGAAAATTCGAATGAAAAACGGAAACAGACTTATTAGTGAGGTCTGACGTTGTCGGTGACAAGGCATTTCCAGTCATCCTATAATGGTTCTATAAAGATGGGTAAATGAACAGCGACGAAAACAATAAAAAAGGAAATAAAGCTATATAAACATGATAAATTCAATAAACTCTCGGATACACGCAAGAACGCTTCGTTAATGTGAAAGACGAAAATGATACGAACCATTCTGCAGAAGCAACTAGTCAACAAAGATTTGTTGTGAGGAAAGATAAAAGCAAACACCATGATAACTCTGCTTATCTAGTTTTCTAAAGAAAATCTCGGAATGTTTCAGAGAGAGAAAATAGAGAGAAAGAACAGTTTATAATAATGAGATTTACGAAATGTTTCAATATTCTTGGAAATTCTCAAAAGTTTTAAACGAGTTTTCTCTATTGTAGCCATAATATGCTACGAGCCGTCGATGGCTTGATTAATGCAACGTCATCATTAAGTTGAGACTATGAGGAGGCAGACCGAAAGCAATGCTCGATAAAGCAAACGAAAAAAACATAGGAAATACATGTAATCAATGCGAAATGTTAGAAGCTGGTCTTTTTACTGAAATAAAAGCCCCGGCCGCTACTTTGTATGGAACATTTGAGGAGTTGTTCAAGGATGAGATGAAGCTTTCAACAAAGGACTATTGTAATTCTACCTAAGCAGCTGAAGAAAAACTGATTAAAAAGTAAAAAGGTTTGTAGACTGCACAAGAATAGTTATGGCCTCGGCTATCTATGCGCATGATAAACAATGCTGTCAATAACCATGCATTAACAAAGAAACGAAACATAAGAGAAATAGGAGAAGAACAATAAAATGTGAAACCGAACTAACTAGTTGAAAATAGATTAAAAAATCAAAAAGTTCTTAAAACTATATGTCCTAGTAACGAAGCAACAACCTCATTGTTTCGCAATCGAACAAGTTGAACAGGTCAGCTTCGAAACACCCTCACTTCTATTATTGACCTTAGATCATTTTACAAGAAATACTGATAACAATTTCATGCTCAAAGAAATGAACAAAAATACTAAAAAGTTGTGACCTACGGAGAAGAAAGACAGATGCCTACAGCTGTTCTTCTGATTGCTCCTTTAGCTATTTCTTCATGTCACTGCATAGCTGGGCGCGGAAAATGATTGAGCCTTTTCTATTCGTTTGGTTATCCCGTTCTTTTTTCAAACTATTACTCTCATTGTATCAAAATGTCAAAAAAGAATTTACTACTAGACAAAAAAGGAAGAGCAAAAGTGAGCTGGGCATTAAGAGAAAAAGAGAGAAGGAAGAGAAAGAACGAGCAACCCTCAACAACAACATTTGTGACGGGATGGGAGAGAGGGAGGGGGCATGTTGCAACAAAGAGAGTCATGTTAACAACCAAAAAAATTACATGAAAAAACTAAGCTGAGAAACGCTTACACAGCTACCCTGTTTGGTGTGTCAATTCACCTACGCAAAAAATTACAAATGCTTACATGACTAATATGAAGAGAAACAAGAAAAGAAATATGAAAATTCAAAAACTATAAACTGCTGTCAAATAAATGCGTCGTCAATGTTCGTAAATAAAACAATATTATGAAAACTTAAAGTAAAAGCATAAAATATTTGAAGAAAACTAGTAAATCTCTCTTTCTTATATTTTTGCTATAAAATCGTAAGCAAAATTTCAAGAGAGAGAGAGATAGAGAGAGAGAGCAAAGGAGGAAAAGAGAGAGAGGGAAAATGACAGAAGGCCAGTCTAGCAATAGAGCAGGACGCCACTAGGCCCCAAGAGTCTGGAGTGTGTGATCACGTGAACAACATGTGACAATCCAAATATGAGAATGGCATAGAACATTGCGTATGATCGGGTACATACTGCGTTCAAATACTATCTTTGTGGAAGTTACAGATTGACGGTTCAACACTACTTCTACCTTATACATGTTTAATTAGAAAAAAGAATATATATATATGTCTATATCAAAGAAGTATTAACCAAGTCAAACGATATGCCGTTTCGTAAAATCAATAACTGTTTTTATAGTTATATATATATACATATGTAGAAAGTATAATAATGAGTAGATGAACAAAAAATATAATATATGAAAACAAACCTTTGAAGAGAAAGAGAAATCAGGATCTACTCAGCGTATGCAACCGGTGATTAGGAATCAAAATGATGCAATGGTAAACAATCTGCGAATCATACGTGACGCACGTGAAGACCTTCACATTCAAAATATGTTAATTAGATGTCACATTCGATTAATGTTTTTTTTTGAAAAGGAGAAAGAGCAAGAGAGACAGTAAGATAGAAGGAGATTATTATGATAAGAGAGCGAAATAATAATATTTTTGAATAAAGAAGTTGTTGAAGTGTGGAATGAAGTTGGTGTAAGTGAGAGATGTGGATGTGTGCGGTTGAGTGTGAACGTGTTGAATGATTATGATGTAATCTGATGGAGTCTTTTGGTCACTTTTATCCAATGTCATCATCATTACGACAGGTGTTTCACAAACGATGTTCAAACGTTTTCAACCATTTTCTATTCAAACTTAACAAATATTTGAAACGTTAGGGGCAATATGCCAAATTAGTACACAGATTGTAATGAAGTTGTTATTGAAAAATATGATTAATGAAGATCGTTGATTGCTGTGATAGCGCGTCTGATCGAAAATGCATTTGTTCTATGAGATACTTATTAATAGAACAATTATTTTGAAAGTTTTCGATCGGAATGTAACTTTTAATGCTCTTAAACTGCAAAAAAAGAAAAAAAGAAGAAGAATGGCTTAGCACAGAGAACATGATGCGTGGAGAACAGGAGTGAACGACGACATTTTCATGGCCTCATGTTCACGAGATTGCAAAATTCAAATATCAAAAAAAAATCTTAAAAGTTAAAAAATATTTATTATTATTGAGTTTCATAACACAATCGTCTGGTGAATAGACCTGTATTAATACAAGATTTAATAAAACCAAGTACAGAGAGACACGAATAGAGAGAGAGAGATAGAGAGAGAGAGAGGCGAGAGGCGAGATAGAGAGATGCTACCGATGCGGTAAACTGTTAGAAGATCGCCAATCAATTGGCAAATGTACAAATCTGTTATTAAATGGATAACTATTGAGTATATTAAAGTTATGAGAATAAATGAATACTAATACCGATAACATATCGGAAGTCTTAGACGCATTTAGAAAGTTAAAGAGAGCGATTACATAGAAATCATATATGAGACATGATGGCGAATGCGGCTGTAGAGTAAGACAGCTGATACAGCTTAGAGACATACTTGAAGATGCGAGTGAATTAAACTGGCCTTTGAGTATATACAGATATGGCAATTGTTCAAATTGTTTGTATCAGAAGAGAGATCGTGTCAGTTGGATGACCTAAAAAGGTAATTGTCAAAAGAACATTTTAAAAATAAGACATTTTTTTTCTTTCTTTCATCTTCTTCCTTCATTCACGAGTGTGAATATGGCGAATGCATGGAGATGATGATGATTATTCAAAAATCTTACCTTTCGCTGATTAATATCAGTACGTGGTGAAGAGAATCGTTCAATGTAATCAAGTTTCTTGTTATGTTTTACAATAGAAAGAAAATCAGGCAATGAACTGTCTGTATGGAAGAAGTAATGCAATTGAGCCGAGAACAGACTGTAAGAACCATTAACGTCATTATAAATGTATTTAAGATCATTGTGCTTACCACATGCCATCGTCGACTAAAGCTTCATCAATGATGTCATGAATCAACTGGAAATCAGTCTTATCACAATTCAGCAGATCGGCAGCAAGAATTACGTCAAACCTTTAAAGATCAATTATTATCATGAAAAATGATGATGAGAACTTACTTCTTGCCGCCTAAGCTTTTCTTCAAAGCTTTCATATCTCCATAACTGAACTTGCATTTGTTCAATGGGATATTATTTTGTAGCAGAGTAAGCTTGGTATAGTAATTATAGTTAGCCGAATCCTATAATATGCACTTTTAATATTGAAGATCATTCACATGCTATGGAGATGTATGAATGATGCGCTACACGTGAACATCATGTGTGATGTTTCTTTTCTCTCTTTCATTCTTCTTCTATTCGTCATACATAATTCCCAGGCAATGAATGAGAAGAGAATGAAAAAAGAGCTTCCAACTGATTAAATGCTTTTCATAAACTTTACACAAACGTTGTTCAGAATTGTGAAAAAGAGAGAAAAGAAAAGACAAATAGCTCAATTATAGACTTCATCTTTCATCTTATACCGTCATCTTCACAAAGACAATGTTGAAAGCTGAAAGAGAAGAAGAAGAAGAAGCGAAAATCCAACTTCTTCTTCTTCTTCTTCTCATTTTTCGTCGTCGTCTTTTTCATCTCCCTTATATTGAAGCAATAAACTTCAATTAAATCATTCCAAATATAGGAATCATCTATCTATCTTCTTCACGTTCATTCGCTTCATTGATTCTATCAACAATATATTTCCTTTAACAACTTACAATGTTATGAACTGTCAATTCGGAAGCCCCATTTTCCCAGGCATAGACAGAGGATAAGCCAGTTGTCATGCCAATCTTAAAAGATAATAGATTATTAGAGATCATAGCTCATCTTTCCAGTTTCCTTACCTCTAAGACTGTCTTTCCCTCAAACAGATCAGTCTCCATCTCCATTTCTACGATGGCATCAACTGATTGGATGAGATAGGTCAAGCTATCCCAATGCTCACCCTTCTCCCTGTCATCTAAAATATTATTGAATTTATAAATGAATAGGAAATGAAGAAAAAAAAACTTAAAATACAGCAAAAAGTCATTGATATGAGAGAGAAATGGAAAAGATCGTCCAGAAGTTCAAAGTTGACAAACGTTGGCCTTGTTCGCTTCTTCGATTCGTTCAGAAGCGAATTCTCTTTTTAGCAGGAGCAAAGCGCTATTTTCATAAAGAGTACAAGAACCTCTGCAGAAAGAAAGAGAAAGAGAGAAAGAGGGAGAGATGTGAAGAGAGAGAGAGAGATGGATGGATGAA